GTGACCCCGGGCCTCCCTCTGCAAACTCAGATGAAGTCGTGATCCTGCTGCCTGAGCCTCCCACACCCTGTACTGGGAGTACAGGCGTCAGTCACCACACCGGGCTCCTTTGGGTGGTACACATAGTTTTCTCAGTTTAACCACTTCGAAGTCTGCAAACCGGTGGCATCCACTGCACTTCATCCGTCCTAGGGTTCTTCGCTTTGGTTTCCTGGAGTGTTCTCTCTCCATGACTCTTCCTTAACCCCGGGAACTGTCACGGTCACTGTGTCTCTGAGAATGTGACTGGCCTGGGTGGCTCCTGGAAGTGAGCTCGCGCACTTACTTGTCTTTTTACATTTAGAACAGGAACCTCCAGGCTCATCCGTGCCGGAGCCCGGGAAGGTGGAACGGTGAGCACCGGGTTTTAATCACCCACGCAAGCATTCTGGGTGAACCTCTCTGAGCCTCTGCTGCGTGCACCGGGAATGAGGTGGCTGTGCACACAGGGCTGCAGCCGCCTCCTAAACTCTCCTTCCAGTCCTCGCAGTGAGGAACTCTGACAGGGACCTTATGGTCACTCAATCGTTTAGTTTTTGAAGAACTACCCTTCCGTTTTCCATAGTGGCTGTCCTTGCTTGCAGTCCCATCAACAGGACCCTTGGGTTTTGCTTTTGCCGCATATTCTTGGTTAGACTTCTTTTTTTCCTTTTTTTTTTTTTTTTTTTTTTGAGATTCGTCATTCTCATGTGTAGAAAGCAGTATTCTATCTTATGTTCCTGATTTGCATTTTACTAATGATTTGCAATGTGTTTGTTGTTTGTTTTCTCCTTTAAACAAATGTCAAGGGAAGGTGCGGGGGCCGGGGGGTGGTTACAAAAAGAAATTAAGACATGTCGTGTACCCTACCAACTCCGCGCAAGGAAGGTAAACAGTACCACTGCAGACGGGCAGTAAAAAGTACGGGGAAAACGAAAACTCGTTGCCCATTCAAGCTCTTTGTCCATTAAACATTGTTTTGGCACTAGGTTTCAGGAATTTTGAGTCATAGAAGCTCTATGTGTATTCCGGATATGGTGTCATATAGGGTATGATTCACTGTGTCTCCCATTCTGTTAATTGGGTTTTTATCGTGCACTGCCTTTGGATTCACAGATATTTTTCATTTTCATGAACTCAAAGTTGCTTATTGCTCGTTTCCTGTGCCTTCAGGGTCCTGTCCAAGAAAACACTACCGAACATGAAGTTATGAAATCTTCCTGGGCTTTCCTCTAAGAACTCCACAGTTTAGCTCCTATCTTTAAGTCCTCTTTCAGGTCCCCAGGTCTCCCTTCTGTCCCCGGAACTCCAAAACCTCACTCTAGGGCGCTGTGGCCCCGCCCCGCCCCGCCCGCCCCGCCCCGGCCCCGCCCACCCCGCCCCGGCCCCGCCCACCCCCGGCCCCGCCCGCCCCGCCCGGGCCCCGCCCGCCCCCGGCCCCGCCCCGCCCAGCCCCGCTCAGCCCCGCCCCGCGCACCTCTTCCTGCCCCTCCCCTCCGCGGGAGGCTGGGCCTGGAGGGTCCCTGCCTGGGTGGGCGGAGCCCTCTTCTCCCCGCCCACCTGCGGGACCTCGAGGCTGTAGCCAGCAGAGGCGGTGGCCCTGGAGCTTAGCGTCCTCCCCTAGCAGGAGCAGCCAACCCAGGCCCAACAGAAGGAGGAGAGACAGCTGTATTTTATAACATGTATTTGGGGCGTAACTTGAGGATTGTAAAGGCCATTTTCTCCTTTAGGCCCTTTGCCGGTGACCTTGGCACTCTTAATACTCCGCGGGGCAGCTTTCTGGCGCAATGGATGCATTACTGCGACAAAGGAAAAGCAAGAGAAAGTCACGCCAGGGTCAGGAGCAGCTGCCCGTTTTCAATCAGCTCTAGAAGATTTATGTTTTAAGCTTCAGGTCAAAGCAAACATTTAAAAGCAAAAAGTCAATTTTTATGTCATGCATAAGTTTGTTAGCGAACTAAATAAAAAGCTAAATGTAAAATGTATGTTTTATTATATTACTATTAATTTATAATTTAAGTAGCAGACAAAAAACTATGAAATAACCATAAAATACATTTATCTATTCAATTTTGAACTCTTGTTTCTTAGAAAAAACAATGATATAAGAACAGTAAATGAAAGATTAGTCATAAATTTTTCCCTATCAGTATGTAGTTCAGTTACCCAAATACAGAAAGACAATAGAGTTAGCATAGAAAATTTCATTTGATGGCTAATATTTGGGTTGACCACATGCTAGTTTTAATTTTTTATAATTTATTTTTAACAGGTTTTATATATTTTTATTTTTAAGTTACAGTTTGTATTCATATTGTGCAGCCATCTATGGTCATTCCCTGAACTCTTTTCACTGTGCAAACTGGAAACTCTACACCCATTAAACATCAACTCCCTGCTCCCTGTGGTTCACAAACACAAGAAAAGACACTCACCATCACTGACCCCTGGAAAAACGAAACATCAAAACCCCAGCGAGGTGCAGTTTCATTCCCAAAGGGATAATTACTCTTACAGAAACAACAAACAAACAAACTGGAAAGGATGTTGGCAAATGGGAGACCGGGTGTGTCGTTGTGGAAATGTAAAATGGTGCAGCCAGTGTGGACACTGCGTGGTGGTTTTTGAAAAAAACTAAAAATAAAGTCACCTAATCTCAGTTTTGCAAGGATGATAATGATGATGATGATGGTGATGATGATGAAGAAGCATGCATGGAACCCAGGGCCTCACATGAGCTAAATCCCCAGCCCTTACTTTGAGCCAGGGCATTGCTGAGTCACTAAATTGCCCGACTGTGCTCACATGTGCAGCATCCTGCCTCAGCCTCCCAGAGTGCTGAGATTACATTGGACTAAGACTAAGCATTACAATGGACTAAGACTTTTCCTTCCTTCCTTTTTTCCTTCTGTCCTCCTGCCCTTCTTCACTCCCTCCCATCCTCTAATTTACTTATATGCAATATTTGTGCACAAAGCTGAAATACCAATCGTGTTTCTAGGAAACAAAAAATATGTATGAGGGAGCCTGGGCAAACGCCAGGGAACACCTTTGGCAGAATGCTGAAGTCCACCAAGGGACTCCTGACTGCACCGCTTGTTGCATTGAGTTCTTAGGGCCATCTTGTGGTCATCACAAACATTGCGACTGGAAAGTTTCAGTTTAAACTGACACATACACGATGGTAAAAATAAGATGCAGCTAGTGTACTCGATCCAGCCCTGTTAGGGGTATTGCAAGGTGGCACGCAGCTTCACAGGAGTCTCCAATAAACATACCCCACTCCTGGGCTGCAGGGCTCAGTCTTAGCTGACCCCTGAGGGTCCTCATGAGGGACTGGTTCCCTGGCGCCTCAGGCATCCTCACACTATGCAGAATGCAGGGCCTCACGGATCTGTGGAAGATGGCCGGCAGCCCGACTCGAGAAGTAGCCCTTGAAGGGAACACAGTTTGTGCCCCAAAGCACATTTATTGTAATGTTAGGAAGTGAAAACAGCTTTTCGAAATTCACAATAAACACCCGCATTTCAAAAAATAACAGTGATGGGCACCCACTCTTTATGTGTCAAATGGACTCAGATACCCAGGATGACCCAAATTTGTGCTGGCCAACTAGGGGTTGTCTGCCTTCTGATCCCCACAATCTCCTGACTGCTGCCCTCGTGAAGCAGGTTCTTTCCCACCAATAATATGTATGGCAAATTGTTCAGCAGGGCCAGAAAGTCAGCTTCCAATCGCCTTCACCTGGACAGAGATGCTCCAAGGCTGTGCTGAAAACTCAGCTTCAAATGTCCTGGACTTATCAGCTGACCTGTGAATGCGACCTGGGCTGGGGCTCCAGGGTACATGGACTGGCAGATGGAGGATTCAGGCTTTGCCTAAGGAAGAAGCCTCCCAAGGAGCTCACCGCCTTCCTCAGAGCCAGCCAAGAGAAGGCACAGGTGTCTAAAGAGAAACTGCTCTGTCATTTATGTGCCAGACTTGTAAGTCGCCTAATCTCTGAGACTGGACTTCTCTGTACCCCGCTGCAGTCCAAACGCTGCTCACTGTCCCATTTCAAAGACAAATAAACACGGGAGGAAATTTGGGGCTGGCAGGGTCCAAGTCTGTACGCAGAAATCCTCCTACTTGAGAACAGCCTGAGCCCTATGGTCTCTCGTAGCATGTGACATCAAAAATCGACAGCTCAAGGGTGGGAGATCAGACGGCTGCAGGTGGAGCCCTAGGTCGCCAGCCTCAAACAAGGCCGGGTCAAGTCAGGCAGCCAGAGGGATGGCTCTGAGTGAGCACATCCAAAGCTTGCCGGGCATCAGAGCCCTTTACAAAGTTAAGTAAGGGGGTAATGCCTGATAGAGGTGACTAGGCTGCTGCCAGGTGAAATGCTGGTTTTTCTCCGGTTCACATATTGTTTCGGTGCCTCCAAGTATCTGTTGATTAAAACGATGAAAGACTAAATGTCCTTGTCCAAGGCCTGCTGCTTATAAAGGCACATTCATCGAGGAAGGGGCATAGAAGTGAAGTTTTAAGAGGTGGAATCAGGTGGAGCCTTTCAAAGGTGACTGGGTCCCAGACCCACAGTTCCGGGGTCATCTTGAGAGGGCATCTGCTACAAGGGCCGGTTTGGCTCTGCTCCTGGGGCCACAGGATGGCCCGTGCCACCTGGAAACCCGCAGAGGGTCCCCACCAGCAAGAAGGGCCTGCCCAGAGGCAGCCTCTCCGTAGCGGGCCTCCTGGACTCCAGCAAGTGGAGCTAATCACCCTCATCTTTGCAAAGCACCCGGACTGCGGTGCGCACTGGTCATCGGGAGACGCTGCCACAGGGACGTCCGTTCGGGCGGTGAAGGGGCGTCCCAGACTTTCAGAGTTACAGGTTTGGTCATGAGGAGGGTAAACGTGAGAACAGTGTATACAAACTCACAGGAAACTACATACTTTCAGAAGGATGTGCAAGTGATTTTTTTTGCAGGATTTGAGAAAAATGTGAAATTAAAAAGAAATGAAAATAATTGATAAAAGCTTTAATGTAACTCTTAAGTTGGAAAATCGTTTTCCTTGAAGAAAGCGAGCTCTGACACATCTTTAAATCCAGCTGGACGCACGCTTAGACTTAGACTCCGGGTCTGCTCCTCCGTGACGCTCAGGTCCCGGGCGCATGGGGAGCGCTCGGGAGGGCAGGCTGGCGGGCAGCGAGACCTCTCACTGCCGAGTGCTGACAGCAAACTACTGAAAAACCAGGGCAAGAAGTCCACTTACGTGGGATTAAACGTAGCACCTATTAGGAGTAAGAAGTAGCCTGATAAACAACGCGAGTGTGAGTTTGTGGCACCAACTAAGGTAACGCTATCAGGCGTATTTACCCCTCGTACTTCATGCTCTCCGCGCTGCACAGGAGTCTCATTTCGGTGACCTTGATGATCGCGACGATGAGAATTATGAAAAACGGCAGGAGAATGCAGAAACTCAAAAGAAGCCAGTTGCTTCGTTGTATATTATACACTTCCTTAATGTAAATTATATCTAAAAATGAAGATCAAAAAATACAGAAGTTTAACAAAATGTGTCTTTGCTTAAATATTTTGGTGCTGTGCACAATTGGAGTGCTGTTTTCTTGGTGCATCTGTAATACCAATAATGTGAAAGCTCCCATTGATCAAGCTCGTCCGATCCCTCATTTTTGGCTTGCAGTAAGAATTTTCAGGGTGAAACTGCGCAGTAGGGTGATGATGGTTGGCATGTTTTGAAAACTGTAGGACTGGATTTTGAATGTTTTTCTCATAAAGAAATGATAAGTGTTTTAAATATTTAAGATGTATGCATGTATTGAAGCATTACATGGTACCTCATGTTTATCATTTTTGTATTGTGTGCCACTTAAAATTTTTAATTTAAATAAAAATAACTTTATAACTTTATATATAATTAATATATTAATGGATTTAGGTACATTTTTTAAAAAGGAAGAAAAAAAGACATTGTAAATCCTTTCAGCCATTCCCTTACTGAAACCTTGAAGAAAACTTTTTAGGTGACTCATGTCTCTCCATCTAGTATTAATATTTTACATCAGATAAAGAAAATCCATAGTTATTCCACTGATATCTGTTTATCTTTGTTTATATTCATGTCTATAGTGTGTATGTTCCCATGTGCATGCTTCCCCTTCCTCTGACATTCTACAAATTAGGGAACTTTCATAATTTAATATGTTCTAAATTTGAGATGTTACACAATTTAGAAAATTACATAGGAAATGGCAGAGTGGTGAGCAAATTCAATTCAGCCTTGCCAAGATTTAGAATCCAGACTCTATGGGGCTTTTGTTTTGTTTGTCTTCCCCAATAACAACCTGGAGAATAAGAGGGGAGAGGGAGCAAAGTGGATTCCTGGAAACCAGAAAGGATCTGACAATGCATGTAAGTTAGAAAGAATGAACAAATCCGCAGGGATGAACAGCCAAGCAAAAGGGAAAAAATGAAGAAAGCGGCAACAGGAAAACCATACAAGGAGTAAGTCACATCTCAGTAGTCACTCTCCATGTGAACGCTCTCAATTCCCCATCACAGGAGACAATACGGTAAAATGGACCAAGAGACAGAGCTCAACAGTATGTGATAGATGAGAAACAAATTTAATTCAAAAAGAAACCCACAGATTAAAAATCAGAGGATGAAGAACAGTATTCCGTGCAAACAGAGCCCAGAACAAAGTTGAAGTAGATTCCATAACTTCAGACAAAGTAGATTTCAAGCCAAAACTGATCCAGCAGTGACAAAGAAGGTCATTATATATTGGTCAAAGAAGCAATTAAATAGGAAGAAACAGCAATTATAAACATAAACTTACCAAGTACCCACACAAATGACTTCATAAAGCAGACACGAATAGACTTGAAAAATCATATAAACACCAATATTATTGTACTGGGGGACCTTGATACCCCACTGTCAATAGACAGATCAACTAGCCAAAAATACCAACAAAAAAAGTCAGAGTTGAACTAAACCTTCAACAAACAGAATTAACAGATATTTATGGAGTGTTGTATCCAAAACAACAGAATACACTTCCTCTCAGCATCACATGGAATTTTATCCAAAACAGATCACATACTGGACCATAAAGCATGCTTAAGTAAATGCAAAATGGATGGACTTATCCTATGCAGATCATAGTGAAATGAACCTAGAAATCAATGGAAAAACATTCCATAGAAACTGTGCAAATACATTGAAATTAAACAATTTCCTCTTGAATAATCAATGGGTCACAGATTATGGAAGAAATTAGACAGTTCTTCATATGGTTAATACATTGTGTCAACTTAAGAAATTTAGAAGTTTAACCAAGAGACTCAGCAGGGAGCCAGGATCTTTACTTTGTAAATACTCTCATCCTGTGCAAGAGAGGGGCACAGAGATTTTGTGAGTACTAATCTGCCCTGAGGGGTGGGGGATGGCCTGCATACAATATAAGGGAGCAAAAGACTGATTATGGACTGAAAACTCCATAATCAGTGAGCTAAATAAACTTTTCCTTTCTTCATTTTGAGTGTTGGATATTTTGTCCCAGCAACAAGAGAAAAGTAACCAAGATAACAATCAAAAGATAATGACAGTCCAACATACCAGGAACTATGGAACACAATCAACATGGTCTAAGAGTAAAGTTTATAGAGGCAAATTCCCACAAGGAAAAAGGGAATGAATTCAAATAGTAATCCCAAAATGGACCTCACGGTCCTAGAAAAAGCAATAATCTTCTAACCCTAAAGCTAGTATGACAAAGGAAATTATAATGATCACAGCAAGAATTAATAAAATAGAAATTTTTAAAAATGAATCTAAGACTTGGTTATTTGAAAGATTAAACAAAACAAACTCTTAGCCATCTTACCAAAAAAAGAAAACATCCAAATCCATGCAATTAGAAATGAAAGAGATGAAACCACAATAGACACTACTTAAATCCATAAATAGTTTTAGAAACTGTACTGTAATAAAATGGACGATTCAGAGGAAATGGAATTATTCTGAGATGCAGATGAACTAACCGACATAAATCAAGAAGATATTAAAATTCTGAATAATCCAACATCAGTCAGTGAAATGGAAGAAGCAATATATTATCAACTAACAAAGCCCAGGCCCCAAGACAGTCAGTGCTGAGTTCTGTAAAAACGTTAGAGAAGATCTAATGCCAATGCTTCTTGAACTCTTTAATGACATTGACAGGGAAGTAGGACTCCCAAAGTGATTACTAGAAAGAAGCATTATCCTGATTCCAAAACTAGTAAAGGACCCAAACAAACAAACAAACAAAAAAACCCCTACAAGCTAATGTCTTTAATGAACATAGATACAAAAATCCTGAATAATATACTGGCAAACACAATGTAGCAAATCATCATAAAGATTATATAAAGTGACCAAGCAGAATTCATTCCAGTGATACAGGGATGGATCCACATATGCAAATGAATAAGTAATATACACCCCATTAACAGAAGCAAGGAGAGAAACCATATGCTCCACTCAATAGATGCAGAAAAAGCATTTGATGAAACCCAACATATGTTCATGATAAAAACACTAAGTATATATAGAAGCTCTAATCTCAATCTGATAAAAAGTCATCTATGACAAGCCAAAGGTCAACACTGTAATAAATGGAGAAATTTTTCCTCTCTAAAATCAGGAACAATACAAAGATATTCTCCATCACCACTATTGCTCAATATAGTTCTCAAAACATGAGTTTTTCTCTTTACAAAAGAGAAAAAAAGCTACATGAATAGGGAAGGAAGAATTTAAGTTATCATTATTTGCAGATGACATGATCCTTCCTTTACATAGAAGACCCTAAAAACTCCTCTAACAAACTCTTAGAATTAATAACCAAATCCAATAATTTAGCAGGATATAAAATCAAAATTCAAAGCTAAATAGGGTTCATGTACACTAATAACAAATTCACTGAGATATTAGTGAAACAAAACTTTTCCCAACAGTGTGAAGAAAAATGAAATACATAAAAATTAACCTAACCAAGGAAGTAAAAATCTCTACAATAAAAACTACAGTACTATGAAAAAGGAGATCTAATAATATAACAAACAATGGAAATAGATCCCTTGTTTAGAGAGAGGCAAGCCAATACAGTCAAATGGTTATACTTCCAAAACTGCTGTATGATTTTAACACAACCCCAATCAAAATACCAACAGCAGTCCTCACAGAGCTAGATGACGCAACTAGAATTCTTATGAAACCACAAGAGAACCGGAATAGCAAAAACCATTCTGGACCACAGTGGCAAGGCAGGGATGTACTGTACTTCAAGTTACACCACAAAGATACGGCAATTTTGTATTGACAAAGAAAAGAACAAGGAAAAAAAAAGACTTTCTACTTTATCTTTGATAAAGGGGCCAGATCCTTTATCTTGTGAATATTACCTCTTTAGTAAATGGTGATGGAAAACTAGCTATCCACATGCCAAAGACTCATTGACTCTAGACCCACAGTTTTTACTATGGACAGAGCTAAAATCAAAATAGATCTCATAAGTAAATTTTAAAACAGAAATAATCTGCTGGAAGACAAAATAGGTAACACTCTTGAAGACATAAGTGTAAGAAAAGATGTTGTAAGCACCACCTGGTTGCAAAAGAACACCCCCAAATAATATCAGCAAATGAGATTACGTCAAATTAAAAACCTTCTGCACAGCAAAGGATACCAACAGAAGAGTGAAGATCCGGTCCAAAACGTGGGAGAAGATTTTGCCAGCTATTCCTCAAAGGACTAATACCTGTAAAAAACTCAAAAAAAATTTCCAAAATTTAAAGACATGATAAAAAATGGGCATCTGAAATAAGACACTTTTCAGATGAACAAATACAAACATCTGATAAATAAATGAAAAAAATGTTTGACACCACTGGCCATTTGAGAAATGTAAATTATAACAACACAGAAATTCCATCTCACTCCAGAAGAATGGTTGTCATCAAGAAATAAACCAATAGCTAAGACGGTAGAGGCTACAGGGAAAAATGAGCCGCTCTTCATTTTTGGTCAGATTGTAAACTAGTACTACCACTATGAAAACAGTAGGGATATTCCTCAAAAACTCAAGACTAGAAATTCCATTTGACTCAGCTGTTCTCTTTCTATTTATCTTCACAAAATGTCAAAGGCATCAGACCACAGTGTTGTATGCATATCCGACTTTATAGCAACACAATTCATAATAGCACATCTTAGAAGCAGCCTACATGTTCATCAATAGATGAACAGAAAATATTTGTACTACTGTATAAATATTTGTATACTGTATAAATACTGTAAATACTACCGCATTTATACACAGTAGAAAAGAATGTCATAAAGAAGGACAAGTGGATGCACCTTGAGACCACAATGTTAAGTGAGGTAAATAAGACACATAAGCTTAAGTATCTTATGGACTCTCACATATGAGATACTCAAATATATAAATAAAATAAAAGAGAGAAAATAGGAAAAATGAGAAAAAAAAGTTAGTGTAACTTAGCACAGACAATATAGTCAAAAGTGTATCTTCACAATTATATTGTGAAGAGGTATATTCACAATATAATTAGAATAATTATCTTACATATTTGAATGTTTTTTGGTCTGTTAGTCCACTGTTATTCTGTATGTATGATAATGTTTTAAGAATTTATATGTAAAATAAATAAATCTGATGCTAGCGAAAGAAAAAAATGAGGGAATGTGGGAAGAAAATGGGAATTCAGTTGTGTTAAGTACACACACCAATCCTTCCCAATTAATGTAATCATTATATACTGTAAATATTTACTAATAAAGTGGCAAAAACTCTAGGATGACTGTGTTCAATGTGAGGAGTACTTTGAGGGGGATTCATGGCGGTGAGTCCTTTACTGTAATAAAATCTTTAAACTGACATGTTCAAAAACACAAAAAATAAAGTGGAAGACTTTAGATTGAAAAGCATAAAGGTTTAAAATATATTTATCTAAATAAGCAATTATTAGTCAAATGAGTATACATACACCCTCCTCTCAAAGAAGATCCCGGTTAGAATCTCCAAAACACTTTAGAACATTTTCAGTATTAAGAAAATATGTGATATTATTGGGTACTTCAAAGGAGTTTGTAAATTAAAAAGTGATCAGGCAATCTGTACAAAATATAGGAAGCATAACATTTAGCTCCTCACCTATTTTTTTCAGTCACTATCCTTAAGAAAATTCGCTACTTTGACCTCTAAGAGTATGAGCCATTTTTTAATCATTTGGACAATCATATCAAAATCCAGATCTTTTTAATTTTAAAGAGAATAAAAATTACATAAATTTCAATTATATAAATTTCAGATGGGAAATTAAAAATGATTATTAAATTGCATACTGTTGTCTTCAAAGTAGTTGCTCAGATTTTCAGATGTAAGCTTATAAAATCAATCAAACAATATAAGCACTAACACTCCTCTCAAATGAACTAACATGTTACTAGTGGGATTATATGTTATGCTCAATCTATCTGATATTAATTTTTTACATTGTCAACTTTGTGATTCGTCTATATCATTGCTTATAACTACGAAATGTACATTCTTGAGGCATACTGTATGTTTGTGTAGAAGTAAGTTATGAATACTTTCCGTTCGATAGGACAGGTAAGTAGTGAGCAATTATGAGTGTTACAAATGGCACTACTGTGCATATATTACTACTAATCCTTTGGTTAACAACTTTGGATGTTTTTCAGATGTGGACATAGCGAGGGAGTGGCAAAGCACATTCATAGCATGTGCTAACATTCAACTTTAGTATTTCCAACAATTTTCTAAAATGATGGTAACAATTACATTCCCTTACTTGTAGATGAGAGTTTTGATTATTGGCAACACTTTGAAGCCATGCAAGGACTTCAGTACTGCCTTCCAGATGCCATTCACACACTGAGGGGTGACATCACTGGAGCATCAGCAGAGCTCTCAATTGGGTCACTAATGTTCTAAAATGCTCAGAGCTTGACTTCTCTCAACAGACTTTCTCGAGGCTCTGACTGAGCAGGTGTCATTTCATTCAGAAATATGAACATTTCATTTGCATGTGTTTGTTTCTTCTTTTCCATCACATATGTCTTTGTAGACAACGCACCACAGATGCCAGTAACTTCTCAGCATCTTCCTGAGCTGTAGTAGATTCTGCACCATGGACCCATGTGCCCTCTTCATTGTCATCTACAGTTGCACAAAGAGCCTTACAAAAGTCGTCCCCAAGTCCTAGGTCTTAAGGGGTGCTATAATTCTTTCATCAGTTGGTTGAATCTAAGAGGTGATGTTCAGAGGAAGCAACACCACTTGGATACTGGGATGAAGACCAACAAAGAAAAATTTGCTGGAGCATAATTAAAAATAAACAAAAGTTTGAAAGGTGTATCATTCTCCAAAGAGAACTTTTCTATTCTTTCAGCACAGCAATTCAGGCAGAGAAACTGCGTCATCCATGACTTTGTATTGCTCCCAAAGCACACAGTATGTGCTTTACACCTGGCCCTGGCTGGCCTGCTTGTGTACGCAAATATTTTCAGGCCTCCACTTCCAAAATATGGAGGTCTCATCCATCCTGAAGATTTACTCCGGCAAGCGATGGCCCTTCGCAATCAGTGCTACAGTGTGCAAAGTCCTTCAGCTGCCTTCCCATCAGGCCTGCCAGGCTCGCCTCTCACTTCCATGTTACATGATCAATGACATTTCTTGAATAGCTTAAGCCACCTAGCTGGCAGTAAATGCACTGGTTCTTTCTTTGTCTGTTCAAATCTGCTTTTGAACCACAATAAGAAGGTTTTCATTTAAGCTAGTACACTGCTCAGCTCTAGCATTTGTTTGGCTCTATTTTAATTTTTCTGCCTTTGTTGACATTATCATTTTGTTTTGACATTTTCCCTGTCTTAAGCTTAGTTCTTTATCCATGTCTTCCTTTTAGGTATTTGAATACATTGAGATGGTGCTTTAAAGTTTTTGTGTAGTAAATCTTTCTCTGGGCTTCCTCAAACACAGTTTAAGTAATTTTGTACCTAAGTAGGAGAAGCCGCGTGCATTGTTGCTGTGCCCACAACAAGTCACTTACTATTAATAGAGAAATGTGGACATCTCTTTTTGCTTTCCTTATTCAGGTTTCCCCTTTCTTCTGATCAGTTTAGACTTAAGTAATACACTCATTTAGCAACTTTCCAAACTCTTCCTGTAGGTACTGTGTTCCTTAACTTTGTGGTCATTGAACTAGAATTTTCTTAGCTTTTGTTGAAATAATATTTGGACAGTGATAACTTGAAGAGCAAGAGTTAAATTACAAAATAATAATAACCACCCACCAAAAAACCAAAATAAAACATGACCACTTCTCCTAATCACTGCAGAATGAATCTGCATTAACGTTTCGCAACACTCAATCAGGCCTTGGCTGAGCGAGGACTCAGCACCAGGGAAGGCTTGTGATCTTGGGTGTTTTCTAATGGGAGTTTGTCCTGGTCAGGCATGTGGTTTTCTGACCTCCTCCTTACACCCAAGAGATGCTGAATACCGTAACTACCCCGAACACTTACTGTTAACTCCTCAGTTATTTTAAGTTCTTTCATTTGTTCTAAATAGGGCTGAGCAAGCCTCACGAGGTAGCTTGTCAACCCTCCTGAGCACACAGTCTCTAGTGAAATACAGCAGAGTGCAAAACATTCTTGACTCCACCCTCCATCTTGAGCAGCAGCCTAAAGGTTTTACTTTTTGCCTTCTTGTGGCTGAGGTACCTGCTGACAGCGCTGGGTCCAAAGAAAGAGTCAACATGAGGGATGCAGCTACTCATTCACATTCTTGTTGCCATCAGCAGTTTTCACAAATTAAAAACTTCCTGGTGTGTATGCCTTTCGTTGATCTCTACACACAGTGTAATGGATGGAAAGGTTTGGAGCCATTCTGTTTGAAAACGGCCACTGTGTACACTCTCAGTTTTAATGGAATCCTCCACTGCATGTATACCACAGTGGTTGACACTGCTCACAAACGTGCCAGTGGGTTCAACATGCTTCTCTCTTCTGAGAACCATGTACCCTGCTTGGTCGACAAATATTTTATATCATCTACTAGTCTTATCTTCTATGAGAGGATACAGACATCCTTTGAATTTTTTTCTGAAATACCCTTGCTCCTTGAAGTTATATGCAGTGTATTATTTTCATGTCATAGTGCACACTTGTGCCACTCCATGAACTACTTTGATCATGGCAAATAATAACGAACTCTGGGTTACCAATCTTTGTTCTTCCTGAGAGGTGAGAGAAGCACTATTATCCAGTGCAAACAGCATCTCCATGTGTACTCTTCCACAGAGAAACCCAATTTCTTTCTGCACAAAATTAAATTACTTTTGTGCTCTTCCCATCCTCTGACTGTGTAAAGAATATCTGATGTCATTCTTAATCTTTTTTTCTCCATATGGCCAATATAATTGGTAATTATTTTTTACTCATACCTTTTACAAATACTTGGCATTGTGGAACAACTTACTGTGTTTATCTTCCCTTTCATTATTCACAGTGCTTCAGGCCTTTGTAATCAAGGTCATTTCTTTGAAAATAAGTTTTCTTCATTCAGATTGGCATTATCAAACCTTCTTATTATTGCTTGTCTGGAGTTTCTGACACACAGATATCGATTTTATTGCCACCATTCCCAATGACATGATTGTGGTTAGAATGTATGAATGACAGCTGCATAGTTGAATCAACAGTTTATGATATTACCTTGAATTTTGGGGACAGGAAGTTTAAACAGCTTCTCTATCATTGAAACTGTGACTGTACTCTCTGTTAGACACTTTATTATATATTTAGTACTTTATTATATAGTTAGTACTCTCTAATAAATATATAGATTTGTATTTTTCCAATTTCACTCAGGATTCACACTGCATTGTTAATAATATATAATTTTTGGTAACATTAAGTGAATATTATATGTGTATTTTTCATTATTCCATATACAAGATTTAAAATTGTATTTAATGACATTTATTGCAACTTAACAAGTACTGTTGTACTTTATGTTGACTGTGTCTGAGAAAAGTCTGATGGTAAATATTATATAATATTTAAATAAAGGCACTATTCACACTAGCTCTTTGCATTAGTCAAGAAATCATGAAACAGAAAAAGAACTTCTTAGTAAGTGCCATAAAAATCACAGCTCTTCTTGCCTTAGAAAATTGCTTTCTGCTTACCGGATTTCAGAACATTTCCATCATCAATACTGCCCCCTGGTGAGCCAAAATGGAATTCACAGCCTGGAGGCCTGTGGTCCGGAAAGCATTGGCAGTTGCCAAAATTATTACATATCTGAAACAGAAAAGTATGCAATCACTTTGAATTGTCTTGGCCTTTCTCTCTGATACTACTATCAGAATCTGAATGACTATTTTTGGTAAGATTTTTATGATTATAAGAAACACGGATTAGAGTAAGTAGTGAAATTTTTGACAAAATCAAATGGCCCATCTCTACTTACATGAAAGTATATTTTCAGTCTCAGTATGTTGACTGTTTCTAATAAATATGCTGATTTCTTCAACCATCTTTTAAAAGTGAGATTCAATAAAATTATTCAGGAATGGATTTAAATTTTTTCACAGTTACTATTTGTTTTGGAAACATTTGCTGTCACTATTTGGATATTTATATTTATGTACTTCAATTTCTCTGCATATAATTGTGATAAGAGAGCCATTAAATAACACAGATACTTTAACTTTTAAAACCCTACATCTTTTTAAAATTTCACATTATTGTTCAATATTTTGTATTTTATTTTTAAGGGAATGTCTGCTCCTTTACAAAACAGAACTTTTCCAAAAGACAATATTAAAAATGGCCAATAAAACAAAAATTTATTTTAAATTTTCATTGCTAAAACTTTACATTAGGAAGAATTTTCATAGTGACTCTTTTGTATTTTATTGGTATTGATTTTCATTATAAAATTAAACAAACACATGTTTCTTTGGTTTGCAGTTTTTAGTGGCTTTAGCCCATGGCTGGCCCCAAGGCACAAAGAGTATGATAGACAGGGCTCATCTGGGGACACCCATGCAGCCAGGAAGCAGGGAGAAGAGAGGATCCAGGGCCAAGAACGCAGCCCTCCAGGTAACAGGCGCCGTGAGCCACCTAAGACCAGGGCTTACCTCCTAACAGCACATTTACCTATCAGCTCACCAGTGGATTAACCCCCTGATGAATGTAAAATTCCTGTTATTCAATCACTTTCCAAACTCATGAACTTTGGGTTATGTTTTGGTTCTAAACCAAAAAAAAAAAAAAAATACATGGAGAAAAAAGGGTAGAAATAATACAGAATTATAGAAAAATAAACAGTAAGAAATCACCAGTTGATAAGTTACATATTGTCATCTTAGAAATAGTTGTTCAGGTTACAAAATTAAAGTATGTAAAGTGACATTCAAATAGGGACACTGCCAACAGTTCTGCTCAATGATCTAACAAAAACTTAGTGATACAGTTATCAGTCCTACACACTTGTTTTTTATCTTAAAGAGGGTTAGATTAAGCATATCAAAACAGAATAAAACAGTTCAAAAAGAAACAATTTAAAGAAATACAGATTTCAAAGCAAGTCCATTGGAGATCTTCACTGTTTATCTAATTGTCTTTAGTTTCTTCCCAATAGTTGTCCCCATCTTCAAACACATTAAATACATACTGCATATTATAGAACTAATCAAATCATTACAGAATGATGAAGGCTTTTTAGGTCTTCAAGATCTGACATTAGGGAAGACAATAATAACTACCATAGTGTCTCCCATTCTTTTTGTAGTAGCTATTCTTATCTTTACATATGCTGAAATTGAACTTAAGAGACTAGACTAATATCACTCTGAACAGTGAATAATAGTATTGCTAGATTTTATATCATAATGCTACAGATTTAGTATTGGAATTCTTAGTGTCTCTTCTTCTTCATAGTATCTCTTCATTACATCTTGCATTATATAATCTGTTCCCATAAATAGTTTTAAAAAATCTTCCCAAATTTCTACATGTATATCTATCCTCTCTGTGTTATAGGGAAAAACAGATCATAACGAGACAGCAAAACAAATTCCTAGAGAAACATGCAATGAAAAAGACACATAAGACCACAATATTAGGTGATCTACCATAGTTACTATGCTTTCTCATGTTACTTTCAATAGATGTGTCCATCAGGCTTAATATAGTTAAGCACAGTATTACATAGCTATTTTTTATAAAAAACACCACTTTGAAAATATTGTAGGACTTGAGAGCTGTTAATAATCAAAACTGGTATGGATATCTTTTACATCTTGTCATCTTCAGAGTAGTTGCCTCTACTTTTAGGGTTGATACTATCAAGCATACCAAATTCGAATAAAATAAGCCAAGGCAAAACTGCGGTCTAACAAACCAGATTCAAATAAGGTCAGTCATAGTAAGACAATGTAAGTAACACAGGGTTTCAGTTTAATTTAATAGGAAATTAAGGATAGTTATCATGGTATAACCTGCTATTTTGGGGTCAGATGTCTGTGCCCTCAAATCTGATATAAGTGGACAGACCAGAACAAAATAAATTCAAACTAAACAGAGCGATAAGACTACTGTGACTTTTAAATACTGATACACTATTAACAATGAACTCTGCCTTTTTAAAACAGTATATTAAAGCTATCTATACTAAAGACGATAGCTTACCGTCTCTGCTCAGGTCTGCTACTCCACTTTACTCCTATAATTTGTCCACCTTACTCCCTCATTCCACTGTCTGCCCCGTTCATCAAGGCCTCTCTGCCACTGTTGCTAGAATCCTGGTATCCCTTCCTCTCTCTCTCTCTGAAATGTCCTTCAGCACTCTCTGTAGGGTTGGGTTGGTGGCCACGAACTCCCACAGTTCCTCCTTGTCTTGGAAACATCTTATTTCTCCATTAATTTTGAGAGAGTTTTTCTGGGTACATCAGTCTTGGTTGCAAATTATTTTCTTTCAGGGCTTGGAATATTTCCCCCCAGCCCCTTCTCGATTTGAGAGTTTGTGTTGACAAGTCTGTTGTTATTAAGTTTTACTAACTTTAAAACAAAAGACAGTCAGAGCAGAACAATATCAAGTAATGCTACCATACAGCCTTTCTTAAGTGAAAAAGAACTTAAGATCTTGAAATTTCACACATAGGTATTGGAGAATGATTTTCCAATAGGAAAAGTGAACAGAACCTATAAACCTTAGACATTTGTTTCAATATTTCTTTTCTTGTCTTTTTGCCTTTTAATCTATTACTACTCAGGAAACTGTTATCTTTTTTTCTTTTTTACAATTTCCAACTGATCTTGTGATTTAGCACTTTCACAGTTGTCTGCTTCTCATTAAGGAAAACAGCCTCTATGGAAACATTTAGCCGACATAGAGCCAGCACAAGCCCCTCCTCCAGGACACCCTAAGCATGACTGAACTGTTCCACATTGTGTACCTGCTTCAGAACACTGTACTATTTAAAGTCAGTAGACAGTTATGATGTGCCCAGGAAAGAGTGTACAGAGATAATATTAGTAGTTCCATGAAAAATAAATCTAAAATACAGACTGACAGGTAAATTAGAAAACCTAGGTATATAATTCTTAGACAAATCTAACACATAAGAAAAAACAAAGCCTGAAAAATACATTATGCAAACACTAGTCAAAAGAATACCAATATAATTACATAAAAATGAAAAGCAAGTAACTGACAAAATATAATAATTGTTAAGTTCTAAGAGGCATATTCTTTTGTAAAATTTCTAAATTCAAAGTCACTTAACATGTGACCTAAGAAGTATATGCAGACAGAAAACGGCTGAATCGAGGCAGAACCTGGTTCAGAGCTACTCAGAGAAATGTAACTAAAACCCAGATAATTGGAAGAAAGAGGCAGCACAGACACCTTGGAACAGAGATCATTTGGACACAAGAGACTAATAGATCAAGCAAAAGATAGATAAAGGCTTAATAAAATGACTGGCCAGCCCCACTGGGTGCTAGTGCATTGCCAGGTCAGGACAATGGCCTGCTACACTTGAAATCTTATAAGAAGAAGAAAAGACTGTACTAAAATAGTGTGGCTAAGTCAAGCCATATGGGATCAACTTGGAACATGAGGTCCCTGCCTCTTTTGCCTCCCTCTAAGCAGAAGTCACTACAGTTTAGGACCTGCTCCCTCTCTGATGATAAGCTAGTTATTCTTTTTTCACTTTTTTCTTTCCTTTATGTTTATCTTTTTCTTTTCCTTTTCTTTGCTTTCTTTCTGTGCACGAGAGTGCATCACAGCATCCCACCTGACCCTGCAACAGCGACCTGAGAGGACAGAGACTGTCCATTGGAAGAGGAACACAGAAGGTTGAACAAGGACCAGGGGGGCCAACAGTGAATGGGGCTGGGGCGGCTCCCTTTCTCTGTCTGAAAACATCTTATCAACTGGGAGAGAGATGCAGCCAAGAGAAGCGGGCCAAGGCATGGGAGGCCACTAAGGGACATACAGAAAGTACTAGCTGAAGATGCTGGCCCCAGGCCCTCACATCTGGAGGCCAAGAGGAGCCTCAAATCCAGCACAAACTCTACTGCAGGCTTGGCAGTATTATCCGATAGTTTTGAGTTCTCATTTGACACCAGAGTAATTTCATTATTAATTATTATTAATTAATTTATTATTACTCATTGTTTATTATTTTTCTTTTTCTTTTTTTCTGGTTTGTTGTTTCCTTCCCTTTTGTCCTTCACCTATATTTTTGTTTTAACTTATTCATTCTCTTTCCTCCTTCAATTTTCCTCTCTCAACTTAATGACATTTTCATACAAATGAGTAGTCTCCCCAGGATTTCTGGTCGCTTCAATAATCCCTTGCTTACTTCTTTATTCTTTCTTTTTTGACTCTTTGCTAGTTTCTCAAAGCCTGTTAAATCATCCTTCATACTACAGCCTGGCTTGTACTTTATTTCTTTTCAGTTATCTCTATTCTCTCCACTATCCTTCTCATATTTCCCCACCAGAGGGTAAAACCACTCTACCAAGGGGAAATACTTTGCATGCAAGCTCTCAACTTACGAATAGTTCCTTACATAACTGTAGATTTTGCTCCTATGTTTAAAGGTACAAAACTCATAGTTACCATGTTATGGGAGCTTTAAAACTACGCTTGATGCTATTGTTTTTGATAACTATACTACTTTAGCTACAATGACATATCTGTTTTAATCAATTGTTGTCACTTCTGTAACAGTACTGAACAGTTCTGGGGTAAGAACCTCACCACACAACAGCATCAAAGGACTAGG